ATGATGAAGAAAAGTTAAAACTCAGAATTGTTTTATGTGTGTGAAAAACTCAAGTGAGAAACCAAGCAACCAAGTTGTAATTGAAAACTGAAACATTTAAGTTGAGTTTGGAAATTGTTGCATTTATAAATTTGCATTTTGGTTTTAGTTGAAGTGGCTTTAGAGACACTCACTTATTATTTATTTAGAAAGGCTTGAGGGAAGAGTATATTTAAATATTCCAGCCTGCATGATTGTTTTTAATCACTTAGGAAGACTGATCACTTTGTGGTGACATGAAAAACTTGAGTAACTTCTTGAGGAGGGAGGTTGTTGCATTGTTCTTTCTAACCACAAGGTCTCTTGGTTTTAATATTCAGGACAATAAACAAGCAAGATTTCCGAAGGGAAGGAGCATAGTAGGATAATTTTAGCTTGTTGGTTGGCAGGACTGTCCTGCAAGCCAACACCTTTTAAATCTAGGAGAAAAAGTTTCAATCGGGACATTGACACTGGAAGTCAGAAAATATGTTTTATCTTAAGTCATATCCTCAATGTGCAGATTAATGAAAGAATTTGAAGGCTATAGTGATGTAGTATGATGCCATTTATATTCTGCAGTGAGTCGATGTGACGTAGATAAAAGTAATTTCGTGCATTTTGTAAATTCTGTTCGATGACACTGTAACCATTTAGAACATTGCGCGATTCAATGAGGACATTGACCGGACTGTCCGGGGAGTATGTGACATTCGACCAGAATGGCCAAAATGCAGTCTCTGCATAATTCAGGATTTTAGCAGTGAACCTTCCGGATTGGCGATTTAGAACGGATAAGGACGTTATTTGAATGATTGGCCAAACGGTGAAGGCTAGAAGATTCTGGAATTCTAAATTTTAAATTTTCGAAGTGATGACGTAACATTTCTGAGAAATGTTAAAACGGCCATTTTGGCTAAAATAGCAGAAAGAAACAGAACAACTTTATCTGCGATTACGAACAGTACGAAAATCGAGACTAAAAAACAACAACGAACTACCGAACAGCAGAGGACGTTCCGAGTTGCAACTATTGTGCTGTTACAATAGTTGCAAGGCCGTTGCGAACAACGGTGAAGGGTAAAAACCAGCCCTCCGAGTTAGCGTGAACCTGAGGTTAAGGAGCTTGATTCGCCGGATTCAAGAATCCGGAAGGGTCTCGGGACGGGAACTTTTATGAACTTGTATTGAATTTTAGCATCCTGTCATGTCCTGACTTGAATTTAACTGATATTTTGATTAGTTTTGACAAGGATGAGGTGCTAGGAGTTGGGGGAAAGGGTTGATCCATCTTCGATGGAGATGATGATTTTTATCTACTGAACAAAAACAATAGTAATATGATGAGTAGTAGCCCTGTTTTTAGGAGTGACCTCGTGGTCTGGGGATACAGAGACCCAGCCATGAGCTCACTAATTTTGCATGTAATTCAGTTAATTTGAGCGTTCTGGTCGAAGCCGGAGAACAGTAACGTTTTTGTCAGCCTGATGTAAGAAAGACCACCGAAAAGTACTGGCTTGGTAGAGACGGTGAAAAACATGCAAAGCTCTGTTTAGACGCTAGCCAGTCGTCTTAAGACTTAGTTTTGTTATCCGTCGATATGTATCTTCCGGGCGAATGTTACAATAGTAGATCCAATAATTGCATATACAGGGTCAGCGGTAAAATGTTGCATTGCATCAGATTTGTTACGTAGTCGTTCCGGCCATTTACCCATGTCAGTGCTTTCTCTTGCACTTTTTCGATCAATCTAAGCATTTTAATGCTTGCTGCCCAGCAACTTGACCCATATAACAGCACTTGTAAAATCATCGATTTAAATATATTAAGTTTCACTCGCATTGGTAGTCCCTTTGGAGTGTTTCGTTTCAGCATAAAAAAGGTCTTTGGATATATTATTGCTTATAGTTTCATTCCATTTCATAATCCGCGAGACTAATAACCCAAGATCTTTATGTACTTCAACTTCCGGTATTGCAATATTATTGAAAGTCATTTGGTTGCATTCACCTGTAAAGCTCATGTAAGAGCATTTACCAACATGCAGCGTTTGTTTGTGAGATGAACTCCATTTGAACACTCTGTCTAGATCAGTTTGAAAAATGTTGCTCTGTTGATTGATGTTAATGAATTTGACATCATCGGCGCATATGAGAGGTGTAGAGAATTTACATTGCGATGGTATGTCATTTATGTAGATAAGAAATAAGATGCTTGCTAATATTGAGCCTTGTGGGACACCACTGTTTAATAATCTTTCTGTGGATAATTGATTTTCTACCCTTATTTTGTGGGTACGTTTGGTAAGATACGAGCGGAGTAGTTTGAGCAATTTCCCACTTATACCGATATCTTGAATTTTGCGCAGCAATAATTGATGGTCTACTCTGTCAAATGCCTTTTCGTAATCTGTGTAAACAACTTCTACAGATTTTCCATCATTGATTGCTTTATAGACCTTGTTCAGATAAACAATCATTTGAACTAAACATGATCGTCCTTTGCGGAAACCGTATTGCTGATTGGAGATGAGCGGCTCGAAAAATTCGTAGATGTCGAGGAACATACATCGCTCAAAAATTTTAGATACGATTGCAAGTAACGAAACCGGTCTGTAGTTTTCCACCATATATTTACACGATTTCTTATGAGTCGGGTTAACGATCGCGCATTTCCAATAGCTGGGGAAAATGCAGGTTTGTTTGATCTTATAGAAAAGAACATTTAGTGATTTAGCGATGTTTTTTGAGCAGTTCTTATAAAGAATTGCGGGTATTTTATCTGGGCCACTTGCTTTTGTACAGTCCAGAGTTCTGCAGATGTTTTGTATGCGTTGCTCCGAGATATCAAAATCATCTAATTTCGTGGTTGATAAGTTTTGAGGCTCACCAAGACTTGGAGGATCGGAGGGTTTTGAGAAATTATCGTCAAAGAAATCGGCAAAAAGTTCCACTTTTTCGGCATTTGATTGAGCTTCTTTGCTACCATAAATAAGTTTTGATGGTATTCTGGACGACTTAAATGTACGGTAAAATTTGAAAAGCTTATCAGTTGATCTAGAATCAGATAGCTCTGATTCAAAGTTAATTTGGTCTTGTTCAACGGCAAAACCGCATTCTTTTTGTAGAGATAAAACACGGTTGTGCAGAGCTGGGTACTTTTTCTTAGCGGTGTTCAATTTCATGATGATATTGGATGTGGATTGGGTAATCCATGGCGCGAGTCTGGCTCGATGCCTTGTTCGAGTAGGGACATGGCGTTCGATTTTGATGTTCAACCATTTATACCAGTCCGACAATAACACATCAGGGTTAGACCAACAGAAGCCTTGAAAAGGGTTGTCTATTATATCCGCATTTAAGGCTTTAAAATCGGCTTTACAGTAGCTGAACATTTTCGACTCATTGTGATATGATCGGAAAACATTGTTTACTTTTCGAATTTCAAACTTTGCTGTAATTGGAAAATGGTTTGACATGCTTGAAATGGATAAGGGTTTGACTTTCGTTGAGACGAGATTCAGTTCACCTTTTGAGAATAAGAGATCTAAAGTACCCGTAGCAGCTGTTGGGAAATATATATGTTGTTCTAGTTCAAGGTGATCAACTACATCAAGGAAACTCTGAGATTCGCAATTTTCGCTACTTCTGATGTTCCAGTCGATATCCAAGTTGAAATCGCCGTAGATTATTGTTGCATCAACCTGTGACATCAATGTTTCAATTTCTTTAAAAATTAATTTGATCATTTCATCGTTAAGGTGATAGTGGCTGGTTTGCGGTGGATTGTAGAAGCTAACAATTAATATTTTTCTGTTCTGAAAATTTACTATGCACCCTACAGCAGCACCTTGGCTTTCTTCAGGTAGTGATATTTTTTGACAATGAAATGAGTGCATAATTCCAATCATAACGCCTCCGTGTTTTGTCTGACCTTTAGGAGCTTTTCTATCAGATCTAAATAGTTGATAAGACGGCAGAAAAATTTCGCTATCTTCCTGTTCATCGGTAAGCCAAGTTTCTGATATTAGAATAATGTTGTAGTTCTGCGAGGCAAGAAATGATGAAAGCTCCATTCTACGCTGAAGAAGGTATATACTTCTGATATTGAAACATAATACATCTAAATCTTCCGTAGTACTTGATAGTCAATCAATTTTGGTTTCGTGTCCATTGACATATAATTTCAGTCCTATTATGCGTATATCTTTTGTGGTTGTTCCGTCGTTAATCAATTCTCTTCTTTTCATCAATAATTTATTTTCTATTTCTTGTTCCTCTTTATTCAAACTTTTAGATATAAACACTTTTGTTGCTCCCTCGAAGGTTTTCAGCTGCTTTGCTTTCGCTAGAAGTTTTCTCGCAGTCTAGGTATTGTTCAGTCGCAGTAAAATAGTACGAGGGCGTTTTTTGTCTTTGTCAAATTTTCCCAGACGTTTTAAGTCGGCGATACAGTTTGTTTCTTCCCCTAGGTGGTTAAGCACTTTTTCAATTTCATACGAATCATGAGACAAAATTTCGTCTTGAGTTGCAATTATATCTTTGCCATTTGCGTCTTTCTTCCGTGTATATTCCTTTATTCCATTTACTCTAATTTCTAAATTATTTTCGTTGGGTGCTGGCGGGGTTGGGTTGGAAGTTATTAGTGACGTAGAATTATACTTAGCTTTATTGAGATCCTCCTTCAGTTCTGATATGGTTGCCTTAATGATTCCAACGGCCTCATCCATGGACTCGTTTCTGGCCATCAGTTGTTTTACGGGGTTAAGACAATGGTCACAAAACCATTTGATTCCTTTCACAACATCGAATAGGTTGAGGGCCTCCAGCGGGACATCAGTACATTTTTGGTGCAGCCAATTGTCGCATTTGTCGCATTGGATTGCTTGTTCCTCTTTGTCCTTGATTTTTCTGCTGCAGGACCCGCACATTGAATTACTTGCACTTGCAAGACGCTTGTTGCGTGCCATATCAAATTTGAAACTATTTAATAAGTTTATCACAACAATTAGGCTAATGGGTCAGGATACCAGTTAGGAAACCAGATAGGATACCAGTTAGGATACCAGATGACAACCAGTTAGGAAACTTCAGCCAGACAAATATCACATTTTAAACTCCTTTATTAAAATAACTTGCTAAATAATTAATAATACTCCTGCAAACTGATTGAACAGGTGACTATTCTGTTTTTTTCTTCATTTGGTAATCAGAAGGTAATCAGACGGTCAAAAGTGTCATAGTAACCGAGGTTACAGTCAAGTCAGGAGTCCCTTCATCATGTATTCCAGTCAAAATCCTTGGAATTTTCTAGATATGGAAGTGATAATGATGAAAGAAGATGACAATTGTTTAAGTCTTTTTCAATTAAAATCGATACGGGTTACTTTCTTCAATAAGAACACGCAACTCGACACGAGAAAATATAATATACAAGTGTTACAAATTAAAAATTTCGTCGAAAGTTATTTTGTCATTTATTGTTCCGAGTACGCAAACGGCGTTAGCAATCTGTATTGCCAGGGAGATTCTCTGTTTTAAAACGCTGCCTGCTCTGGGTTCCTCAGTGCATATGCTTAGGTTCTTACAAAGCTTGCTCAAAAAAAATTGTCCTGGGGCAGGCCGCGCCCTGAGTTTCAAAAGCTAGCGGTTGAAAAAGATATCAATCATCTACAACATCTTTATACTTGTCAATTTTTCGCTCTTCCGCTTCAGCGGCAGCTGTACCAGGGTTACAAACAGACCCGGCATTAATCCTACAAGGAGCTAAGGAGTCTACTACCGTTACATCCCAAAAGAGCTGCTTACCAACAGCCCATGGAAAGAGCGTCAAACCGTCTGGTCGCTTCGCGTCTGGTCTAGTAACATGCCAACCATCCTCGGTAACGTCTTTTCCGCACACGCATTTATGCTGTTCGCATATTTTAGAGCCTAATCGAAGTCCTATCGCAATTCTGAATTGTTGGTTCGACAGATTTAACCTTAAATTTTTGGGAATCTAACTGTGCCATTCTGCCAGATAGCACAGCGCAACCTTCCGACGAAGCACGAATCAGAGAGAAAAGGCCTTAACAGCAAAAAAGTGCTTGAAAGGAGGGTCGAAGTATTCTGAACTTTTCTATTTTTAAAATTTCGATTTTCAAGTTGATATTTCTCAGAAATACGAAAAACGGCCATTTTGACCAAAAAAGCTGAGAAAATCAGAACAACGACAGATATTGTGAAAAACAGTCGTACAAGAGACGGAAAATACGAAGCCTCTTATCGTGGCAGCAACGCACGATAAGACACTTGTCAGCGGATACTAGTGGAGAAGGAAGCTTCAGTGGGGAAGGAGTATTCCACGGAACCCTCCCGGGACGCAAATTAGGAGAGATAAGAGCGTTATCGCTGGAATATTACGGGAGCGGAGGCTTGGTCCCCCAGAGACTGTTTATGTGAAGGGACTGTATAAAACTAACTATATAGCTACCTGGATGTCGTGAAACTTTAAATTAACACCGGTGTAACTTGATATTTTAGAATATGAGTAGCTAGAAAGAGGAAAGGGTCAATCCATCTCCAATGGATTTAATATAGAACTGTCACACAAAAACATAATAAAATAGGTTGTTCGAGCCGTGTTTTTAATGACAATCACGTAGTCTGAGGATCCGAGACTCAGCTATGTGGTTGTGTTCGCATGTAAACGAAAGCTGATCAAAAGTCGTTTGACTGATGGCCTAAAAATGGTAACTTTTTACTTAGCCCTAGACAGACCAGAAAATTAACTGGCAAGGTCGAGACGGTGAAAAACGAGTAGAATTAAGGTAACTGACGCCTGCCAGTCGTTAATAGGTACTTTTTCTACGCTCCGTCACTGTGTAGTATTTGGGCGAATGTTACATAGACGTTTTTATGGCGCTCCTGGGTGGGCCTGTCAAAGGCATAAGACCATCATGATCAGCAAGCGTTTCAGCGACGAACCCTCCGCTCCGGGCGTAAGCCCGAGGTAGAGGCCTTAATGACCGTTATTGTACTGGGGGGAAGGTGCGTACCCTCCGTCCAGTGCTATTTAGCTTTTTAACTTAGTTAACACCGAAAATTCCGGGGGCCGGAGGGTTAGGTGGGAAATCTAGAGCCCGCTTGTCCTGAGGTCCCAGGACCAAAAACAATTAAAGAGAAAGCGTAAAATTAAACAAAAATAGTGTATAACCAAGAAAAAGCCAAAAATAAATTTATTTGAAAACAAAAAAGTACAAAAAACAGTAAAAAATCCAAAAAAGACCAAAAACAGTAAAAAACATAAAGTGACAGCTTATATGTTATTTCCGGACGAGATGTGATCTGACCTTCCTATTTGTTGTTGTTTCAGATTGATTTATATCGTTTCTGATAGAAAGATTGTGTGTTTTGGTGAAGGGTTGGATACCCTCCCTCGAGTGTAATTTGAGTGTTTAAGCACGTTAATGGTGATTTTGCCGGTGACCGGAGGGTAGAGTGGCAAGCTGATCAACGTGTTCCACACTCAACAGGGACATCAGGGACAACATCCGCAACGACTGTTGGGTATCGTTGAAGCAATTTTAGTATCGTTCGGGTACTATTTCATTAAAACTTAAGTGGTGGGGGGCACGATTGGCGCGGTCCGATTGTACCCTCCATCGATTACAAATTTCCGAGTTAAGGGTCTTAATTCGGGTATTTTGGTGCAAAGGAGGGTATGGTACTATTCATTAACGACTACTAATAGGTTATTATCCTTATTACATATTACTTATCTCCTCAATTAGACCCAAAAAACACCCAATTTTGTCGAAAATCATCGATTTTCGATCAAACTGTAGACCCCCAAATTTTTGGATATCCGAGCTTTTCCGAACAACAAAAAGCTTTTATATAGGGAGTAGCTACGTAGTTTGATCCCCCTAACTAAGGAAACCGCGTGAGAAAAGACTCAGTAGAAGATAAAAAAAAAACCGAAACTTTTCGGTCAAAATTTCGATGATTTTCTGAATTTTGTCAATCTGTTTTGGGGATCGATTTTTTGAGTTTTTAGAGTTAGAGCAATAAAATTTTTTGCGTTAGGAGCATGCTAGCATAACGTAATCGGTTATTAGAGAAATTCTTGAGTGACCCTCCGATTGGCTCCTTCGATAGAGCTAACGACTTAAGGATTGGAAAAGGAAGGTACCGGAGGGTCCAAATTTGATAGTTATTGGCCAAATTTTTGTCTCTAAACCAATTTTGATCCGGTTTTTTGCACTGTTCCAGTGCCGTACAGGGCTACTACGCTCGTTTCAATTATTTTTAGGCACTTTCGATAGGAATTGCGGAAAAAAAGTTTTCAGAACCTATATAGGTGGTAAAAAAAGGCCATTTGGACAAACACGTTTTTAACAATTTCTCAAAGACTAGTCATCCGATCGGGATGATTTTGGTACCATAAATCGACGTTTTGGACCACTTTTTCGGACCGCAACCGTTTTTGGGTTGATAATCCCGGAAAAGAAAAATGTTTTAGAATTTGTTGGTTCGGAGGGTCCAAATTACAGGACCCTCCGAGCGGCAGAAAATTTTATCAAAACACCTTTTTATCCAACTGGGAAGGTTGACCGTGTCAGCCAACCTAGTTTTAAGTCAGGTAGACCGCTTTTGGAGACTTTATCGCGGTAACATAACCTTTTTTCTTGATTTTTGGGGAACCCTCCGAGGTAACCCTCTGGAGTCAGCTAAGGTCCTTAGCAACCCTCCTTAGTGGAAAATTTCCACGAGGTTATCCAAAGAAGTTGAGACAGCCCTCCCATAGAGAATTAAGCTTGTTTTGACGCTTCCTGAAGTTAATTGAAGGCCCTTCTGAGTGAGGCTCAGAAATTTGAAAATTTTGGAGGTACCCTCCGAAGTAACCCTCCGGAGCATATTAAGCATCTTATTGACCCTCCTTAGTAAATTTAGGGGACCCTCCGAAGTGAATTGGGTGATTAAGGTACCCTCCGAAGTAGGCTAAGTGTCTTAACAACCCTCCGAAGTAACCCTCCGGAGTGTCTTAAACCTTCTAAACAACCTTCCTTGTTAGAAACTTGAGGAAATCTTCCGTGGCGATTTGGGAAACGGAAAATATCCATTTAATCAAAATCATATTAGGATATTAGGCGCTTATTAGGATCATAAGAGCCCATTTTTGACCCGGAAATTCGTGATCAACTTTGGATTCTAGATCGGGTGTATCAGAAGTACCCGAACAAAAAAAAATTTTTTTTGATTGTGATTTTGGTTGTGCGGTTGCCTTGAGCTAATTAATACGAAAGTTCGGGCAATCCGGGAACAAATAAAAGAAGACCTCGGTGAGTGTATTAGGCAAATACACACTCACTTGAGAAGAAAAGTTGTTCCCTGCTCTCGTGCACTTGGAGCGTTCCGGGTGTAGGGGAGCTTTTTCGTAGACTTTAGAAGTTTTCGATCAGAGGTTGCCTTGAGCCACTTGATAGGACAGCTCGGGCAATCGCGGGGCACCTAAAAGAAGACCTCGGTGGGTGTATTAGGCAAATACACACCCACTTGAGAAGACTGTGTCCTGGGCTTTGTTCTTTCGGATCGTTTCGATTGGGGGAAGTCTTTTTCTTTAAGACTAAGTTTTATTGATCTGTTTCTGAATCATCACTGCTTTTTATCAAAGACTGTTTAATTTTAACAAAGCAGTGACTTGATAAATTGTGTGGCGACAAACTGATACTGACAAAAGGTCGCTGTCACCTGTAGGATATTGTTATCTGATTATCTATTGTGTTTTGTGTGTTGATTATATCTTGTGAAAATCTTGTGATACTGTTATACTATACGACAGGGTTGAGTTAGCACTATATCAATACTGAGCAGGCCCTGTGTGTGTGTGTAATTCTAGCTGAGTCACTAAGATTGTCATTGAGAAACCTAAGAGATTGATACTGACTTTTTGACATACGAATATTGTTTTTTTTTGTGTCACAAAGTATGCAGCGCAGGGACTCGTTAGGATCGACTACTAAGATTCCCA